GGGAATATTCCCCACGACCAACGTCAATGCTCTCATGTTTGCGCGAATCATTTCTCACCAGACTGCTTTATAAACGAGGATCAGTATAAAGCTGGTTTTGCTAAGCAGCTGCTCCTGAATAAAGAATCGGTACCAGATATTCGTGTTCCTGCTGAACCTCTAGAACAACTGAAGTGAGTGTTACCTTTTATTAAACTTTATATTAATATTTATATCTTTGCAAATCGCTTCACGATGAATGAGTCTAAGGTTTACACTCAGGGTACATTACTGCATGTTTTCTATGTACGACGTTCTCCATATAATTCATAATCCCACGTTTATAATGAACAACACGTTATGGTATTGTGTTACAAACGTGTACGCATAGAACAGAGAGGCGGGGTGAGCAAAACTCATTATCATTTAAAGTCATATGCACTGAAACGGCGTGCTGAAAACAGAGCTGTTTTTGACCAGGTAAAATAAGTGTTTTCTTACAATACTAATGAGAATTTTTAATTAAAGTATATTACAAACTTTTAATTTAGACCCTAAAGAATCATATTAGCTTGTACAAAAATGGCATTATATGACCCCTTTAAATATGAATCCTGCCCGTTGGGTCCATTTGGACCCGAACACCCCAAGTGTGACTGTTAAACGAACAACCCCAGAGGGTTAAAGGTGCTCTATGTAACTTTTCTACTAAAATGAATCCTTTTTTTATTGGCTTGTGTGTGAAGGGGTTGTAATCACACATTAAAATGATCCACTTGTCGAGTTTTGCTATTACCTCTGAAGGCCAGTATTCCTATTTCTATGTGAAGTCTCCGGGTCGGATTTACCGCGAAATCCAACGGATGTGACGTGCATGCACGCTCCCGAGCCTCTCTCCTTATATACAGTCTATTGTAGACAGTCAGGGAGTTACGTCCGGTTAAAGACGCACGTTTTTCGGCTTATATCTCAGTCAATCTTTGATCAATATTCCCAAGACTCTAATTGTTCGTAGTGCTGGACGGGGCCTTTCGAACGAGCCCACCCCCGAGGTCCAACTCGCCCGGCTCCCCGAGTTATAGCCGTTCGAAATCGGGGGTCCCAGCGAACGGCGATCTGGTAGGGGGCATCCCCGAGGCCCGCCACTCTAGCGTTCGGGCAAGGGTTCCCCTGGGACCTCCTCCCCCGAATTTGAGCTCTCTGGGTCTTTGCGTTCCAGAGATACGAGCGATTTTCTTCTGAGATCGTGACGTCACCGGCGTCCGCAATTTTGCTAATCTGCTAATATCTCCGCGAAAACACCACCAAAAACTATGGAACTTATATGGTTCTTTTCAGCTCGACTAGATGGTCCCAACAAGCTCGGTGCTAGCTGAATCCGTCAAGTATTCGCCGAGATATTTGCGTAATAGACGGTATTGTCTATGAGTTAGAGCACGAGCGCTCTTGGAAAATTTGGTTGCAATCTGAAACATCACCACTAGAGACCGCTAAAAGTTACGTAGAGCACCTTTAAAGTTTAATTGCACCTATGAGTTGTATTCAATATCAATCAGTTGGGGGCAGTTAATCTAAAAGTTGATGAGTGTGTTTTGTTAACTATATTTAGCTATCTAAATAGTTTACCAAAGAAATAATTTACCAAATAAAAGAAAATTAAAAATCAAACAAGGTGTACTTTTCATTTCTAAAGTATTTGGGTTTTTTATTATACAAAGCCCTTTTTGTCGATTTTTCGAGAATATCTACATATATAAATAACTATATCGTGAAATATAATGTTACCGTGAAATAAAATTAGTCATAGCCTACCAGGCCAGCTGACAGTCTTGCCTGGGCCCGGGACAAGATAATCTTAGATGGGCCCCCCCACGATTTATTTTTATTTTTATAAAACACCATATACTTTTACCCAAAATGAATAATAAAAACACGTTTAAATGGGTACATTTTCTATAAATGTCTTCATTTTCTTTTCTGACATAGCCTACTGCAGTTCTTGTTAAAACACACTAGACATGCAAAATCTGTGCATTTTGTGTGAAATCATATTTATTTTTTGTCCATCAAAAGTGTGCTTTCACTTTTAAGCATGAGCAGCGCAGCAAAAATAGACTCGGATCTGACCCATTATCTGTTCACCGATGATGACAGTGATGCATTTCAATCTTGGGGGGGGGGGGGCAATTAGGAAGAAAGCGAATAATCCCTCCCTATCCTGGGCCCGGGACAACAGACCCGTTTGTCCCCCCCTGTCGGCGGGCCTGTAGCCTACTATGAAACAGAATTTTGGTCATACCGCCCAGGCGCCCACCCATCTCTCGCTTGGGGGCGTGTCCTAGAAATTGGCTGCTGATTTTTTTTATTTTTATTAATCTGACTTTTTAAATAATTTTAAACAAACTAAATGACTTAAATTAAAATTTGCTGAATGCTGATCCAATATGGTAACATTTATATACATTTAATACAAATAATAAAAGTTATAACCACCATAAATATTTAATATATCACCCACCTCTAGAAATAGTGCTTGTAATGTATTTTTTTCTTTTTGCATTTAAAGAGTGAGTTGTTCAGTTACTATTTGTTTTGGAATATGTAATATTTTTGTGCTTATCTCGAGTTAAACATTCATTTTGCTGGATCAGTTCAATTTTTTTATTGGAGATACAGTGCAAGCGGTGTGGAATGATGTTACAAGATTTGTCCTGAATTGTTGCCCAGCCAGCACACCCTGATCAAGCTAAAACACTGCTATCAAGACACTAACAATCCCTATAGCTATATGCTTTGAATCTTTTCCATTTACAAGTACATTCCCACCTGTGCATTTACAGATCCCCCTCTAATCATCATATATTTTGTAACAAACCGAAGGAAGAAGGCAGGAGCATTGCTGTGTCAATCGTGTATACAGGAACATCCTTCATGAAAGATGTGCGCGGTATGAAAGTTAAAAGGCAAGATGAGGAAAACTTGAAGATTACCTTTCTCAATTTGCATGAGTCTTGGGTTATTTATCTATATTTGTGTAATTGATAAAGTTATGTTAAATTCCCTATAAAGTAGGAATAAAAATGTCCTCTATTTTTAATCACTTTAAGCCCAGTGTCAGTGAAGATGGTGTGGTCAATGGAATCCTGTTTTTTGTGGGAAATGTGAAGGAACCTTTCTCAGCATTCTATGATGTTGGCCTGATGACTGAGGTAATTCATCACTTAGTTGATGCAGTAGTGGTCAAAAGTTTACGTTTACAGAATAAACTCTTAAAAAATCACTCTTAATGTCAATTTATTGCATTTTATTTTAACTTAATCTGTGATACATTTTAAATCAATTACATATAATGTGCATTAAGTAACATTGCATTTAACTTACACTTAAGTGTATTCCTTTAAAGTATATTATTTGTGTAATAAGTCACTTTATAAAAGTACACTAAAGTGCACTTTTTTCCACAAGGTACCCCACCTCTGTCAGCTGTTGTTTAACTGTATTAGCAGGTTAAAATGCATCACATTTTGCCTGAGAAACTAAACAATTTAATCTAATAAAACTTATATGATTTTATCAGCAAAATTTTAAGTACTAAACAAAATATAGTTTAGGTAAATAAAATTACATTCTTACCTAAAAATCTATTTTTGTCTTTATAAAATCTGCATGTGTCTATTTATAGCCTTGACAACCATTCATATGGGATCTGGGAGGAAGTGGGTAAATAATGAAATGATCATATGAATCCTAGCTTATCCCTGATTCATGGTGATGTTACAACAACCATACCCGGCCTCTCCCTATATGTGTGGTTTCATTAAAAAAAAAAATTAATGTGCGATCAGGATCGAAAATAGTCAAATGTCAGCGTAGGAGGAAGGAGGATGTCAACCTTCAACAAAGGTACTGCCTCAGTGACAAGAGATATACTTTTTCATGTTGTTTGTTGCGAAGGGTGTGTGGTAAAGTGGAGTCTGGACAGGGAGAGCGAGTGCAGAGAAGAGCAGTGAGAAGTGGGTCAAGTGCAAATGATTAACACCTCTTTCTGATTCCAGTAACTGGCAGAGAAACGGGATAAATAGAGCCTGCAGACCTAGGAATGGGGCAAACGCTGAGTACACATTTTATGTTGTTGAACATTCGAACTAGTTGAAGGCACAGAAGCGCTACTTTCGTTTCGTTGTTTGTGAGAGAGAGAACAATAAAAGACTCTGGAACCTCACTGACCTGACTTCTTTGTCCTTTTTTATTTTGTGAACATTGTTAAAGCACACTTGTTAAAGTGAGCAACGATACTGTTAGTGCAAATGTACATGCAATTGCATGCAAATGTAATTATGGGAGCTTACTTGTGACAATGGTTTTGGTTTCTTGGTTGCCATTCCTCCGATCATAATCATGTTAGGCATCAACGGTCGTGGGAATTCCAAGGCAAAGTCAAAGCGCATAAACCAGAGAGCTGCACGGCTCATGATCTCAACCATCGATGCTTTTCTCTGCAGTACACGTGAGGCGATCTCATCTGCACGAGTAAACAAATGTCTGCAAGCCATGGGCTGCAGGAGAGTCCTTACCAGGTTCACACTTCTTTGCCAAAGATTAATGCGGTCAGTAAAGTGAGTTAAAGGTTGTGGAACATAAGAGGCTGGAACTGGACATTGACTGGCAAGAGCGTCGACACCACAAGGAAGGTTTATTTGCATATAAATAGTTGGAATGGAGAGATATTCACCAGCTATAGCTCCAATGGGCTCAAATGGATCTGTGAGGATAGCATCAAAATTGTAATCTTGCAGTTCATTCATCAAGTCCCTGTTGAAGAGTAGACCCTCTGCGTTCCTCACTATGAAGCTTTGAAGAATCTCCAGTGAAATAATGAACACCTGGAACTTGGCCAGGTCTGTCGAGATATCAATACTTAGAACTGTGTTTAATTGATCTGCTAAGTCTGCTTCTAATTCATCCTTGGTGTAGTTCACTGGATATGTCAGAGTGGTGGTATTCTGTGAAGGACCCATACTCAGACTCGCCTCTGGGATGACGACCACCACCTGGTTTCCTCTCCTCCCCAGCTCCTCCACAATAGGCTTCATCCCTAACCAGTGACTGCCATCTGATGGAATAACCAACAGTTTCCCAGCTTCACCTGAACCCAAGAAGAAGAGACTCAGGAGAAACCACACGCCAGCCATTTTATCAATGGTATAATAAAAGCTCTCACTGTGGCTTTTGCCAGCTATAGGTGAGGTCAATGAGAAACAACCAGGTAATGTGTAGCTTACACTACTCCAATATCTCACAATGAGTCTGGTTTATAAGCAGAGGTGGAGATCCTTGCAGCTGGGTGGGACTTTATCTATATAAGGTGGTGAAGCAACCAAATGGGGTGAAAGTTTAAAAAGATGTTTAAAAGCGGGGGTTGGGGGTGAGGGAAATTACTTTTTATAAATGATTCTGGTCAAATGCAAAATTCATGGCAAGCATGAAATGTCATAAGGTGCAAAATATGCAAAATAATGGATGTGTTGGTAGAGTAACTAAAGATTTAAAAATGGACGAGGACGTGTTAAAATGTGTATTTGCAATTTTACCTCATATTTGAACAGAAATCGAAATATTACAGAAAACTATTAAATCTATTTATCACTAATCTATATAACCTATTAAACAAGCACTAACCAAAAACCAAGACACTTTAAAATGCAACATTTGAAACAGACACTAAAATCTGTGAAACAATGTCTAATTAAAGTTCATTACTAATGCTAGTTGTGCCCTTTTAAACATTTCTTTTTAAGGAGTGAAGAATCAAACACAGCCTGTCTTCCAATACTGGCCTTTTATCTGCATGTGTTTATAGGGATAGAAGCATTGTTGGCCAACTAAGCTTGCAAATTGAGATCATGCATGATTGGCTTATACAATAACTAACGGTCCAAAACCATGCATGGCTCACAGTTCCCTTTCGTTGTCACTCCGAGTTCCGTCGGATGACGACGAATGGGGGTTTCGCTTAGAAGCCTATCGACTTCGAGTATACAAAACGAGCCAATGGCAAACAAATGCCATGGGTCTGCGGAATTTGCATGGCGCAACTCCGCCCCACCTCGTGGGGATAAAAGGAGAAAGCCAGCAATATGCAGATATGTTTTTGCTTCGGAGCCAAGATGTTCTCTTCACTCCTGCAGTCTATTCTCTGACTATCTTCGAGAATCTTCAAGACGAGCAGCTTCCAGTCGGTGTTGGTGTGATGGCGTGTTCCAGCGAGTTTCACATTCCTGCCTGCTGATCTGAACAGCTGTGTGCTTCTCCCTGGGCGCTTCAGCACTGCTGCAAGCTTTTCTCACACAAAAAGAGCGTGCACGCGGCGCGTCTTTTTAAAGACGATCTGCCCGTGCATTTCTGAGTGCGGTAGTCTGATAGATTCAGCTGATGGGCACGAGCGCTGTTTTGACGTGTTTGGGCTTCGATCACGTTCGAACAGCGCTCGCGGATGCGTCACGTTCTCTTAAGGGAACATGACCATCGCAATGTAACGGTCAAGACTCAATGAGCTCAACTGAGTGAGAGTCCCCTCATCCACACCCCGATCTATTTTCTCCACGTGAGAGAATACTTTGGCTGGTGGCCAGGGTGACCTGAGATGGCTGGTGTGGAACTAAACCGCCGATTAATATCCGTGGTCCACACCCCTCTCTTTAACATTGCAACCCGCGCGGTTCTGAATGAGTTAGCTGGTCAGAGCCACGTCCTAAGGACGCCGGCGGGCCGGCATCTCATTCAGTTCCCCGGCTGATGAAATCGTGTCTATCGCCGCGTCACAAGGTGAGCTGGAGTCCTTTGGAAGTGAGGGCTCGTCTATGTTGCCACTCTCGGGTGTGCAACATAGCGAGTCTGATCCAGAGTTGACAGCTATGCTTCCCGGGCAGCCGCGAGTATCGGGCATGTGTGGATTACTCTGCCATGTCTCGAGCACTCAAGGCTGATGATTGGTTTTGGGGAGGCGAACCCAAAATCCTTTCTACTCGGATGTGCATGAAGAGGTTATGAGATCGTGAGAGTCTCCTTTGACTTCGCGACTGCTCAGCAGCCTCTTCCACCTTCTCTGCCCTCGAGAGGCTGTGGCCATGGGTACACTGGGGTTCCCCCCGTGGAGTGTTCTGTGGCAGCACGTCTGTGCCCCCACAGCGCCTCCACCTGGCGTGGCGACCCTAAGCACCCCTCCAATGCCTGTAGGTTTTTTTTGTCTACTCCGGTGGCAAAGACCTATAGAGCAGCGGACAGGCTGCCGTCTCACTGCATGTTATTGCCATCCTTCGGGGTGCTCAATGACATGCACGAGGGTAGGGCTGATTCAGGGCTCATCTAAGAGACTGCCTGCCGCCACCGACCTCGCTCTACGAGTGACGAAGGTGACCGCACGCTCCCTGGGTCAGGTGATGTCCACTTGTGTGGTCAGACATTTCTGGGTTAACCTGGTTGATATGCGCGAGGCTGAGCGAACCCGCTTCCTCAACTCCCCCATATCCCAGGCTGGCCCTTCGGCGGCGCGGCCGAGGACTCTGCCCAACAGTTCTCGGCCGCCCAGAAGCAGACTGAGGCTACCAAACACGTTCTGACCCCGCGGCCAGCTGCTGCCGCCGGCTCAGACGCCTCAGTCAGCTTGCCGCCGAACGCGCCCTCCTGCGACTTTCGCCCCCTCCCGCCCGGCCCCAGCAGCTCCGGGCCGCGCCGTGGAGGTGGTCGCAGGAAAGCGCCCCAGCCCGTACCAGCCCTGCAGCCTGCCAAATGCCGGGCAAAGCGGCGCTCCCGTTACGGGCAGCTCAGAGATGGGTTGCAGTTCTCCAGGAGGTGGTTGCAGGGCCACTCCTTTCCCCGGTGGAGGGCCGGGGGAGAACCTCTTTTTCCAGAGAGCTGACTTCCCATCTCTAAGCACACAGAGTTCTCGGACGACACGGTGCGCCGCCCCCGGGCCGTGCACCCCTCGTCCTCCTCTGTCCCAGAGCCGGATGACAGTGCGCGCCGTCCCCGGACCGTGCCGCTCTCATCCTCCTCTGTCGCCAGACCCCTGGCAGAGCAGACCCCGTGGAACGTTCGTCCTTCCCTGGTCTCCTCTGTCAGGACTCTGCGGTCTATGACTGTACCCTCACACCGGGCCGCTATGCCGTCCACGTCTGGGTCAGCCATACCGCCTCGCTGCTCCACCAACGGGAAGTCTGTGGTTCGCGTGACCCCGCTGGTACAGTCCTTGGGAACCTGGCTAGAGCTTCCCAACCTGTCCCGCTGGGTCGCACGAACGTTCAGGCTCGGCTACGCGATTCAGTTCGCGCGGTCTCCTCCCCGCTTCAGGGGAGTCCGCTCCACTATGGTCGGTGGCAATGCCCCTATCATGAGAGCGGAGGTTGCTACCCTGCTGGCGAAGGGTGCGATCGAGACTGTCCCTCCAGCCGAAATGAGGTCCGGGTTTTACAGCCCCTACTTCATTGTCCCGAAGAAAACCGGTGGGTTACGGCCAATCCTGGACCTGCGCGTATTGAACCGCTCCCTTCACAGGCTGCCGTTCAAGATGCTCACCGCCAAACGCGTTTTCGAATGTGTGCGGCACCAGGATTGGTTTGCAGCGATCGACCTGAAGGACGCCTACTTTCATGTCTCCATTCTCCCTCGACACAGACCGTTCCTACGGTTTGCTTTCGAGGGACAGGCATATCAGTACGCAGTTCTCCCATTCGGGCTAGCCCTGTCCCCTCGCGTCTTCACGAAGGTCGTCGAGGCAGCCCTTGTTCCCCTCCGGGAACACGGGGTTCGCATTCTGAACTATGAATATTCTGAACTGAACTTTGGGCCTTCGGGTCAACTGGGAGAAGAGCAAACTTTGCCCCGTGCAGAGGATCTCTTTTCTCGGTATGGAGATCGACTCGGTCGCCATGTCCGCGCAGCTTACGAGCGAGCGCGCGCAGTCACTGCTGACTTGCCTGAGACAGTTCGAGGGCAAGAGTGCGGTTCCACTGAAACTTTTTCAGAGGCTCCTGGGGCATATGGCATCTGCAGCCGCGGCAACGCCGCTCGGATTGCTTCATATGAGACCGCTTCAGCTTTGGCTTCGCGACCGAGTCCCGAGGTGGGCATGGCAACACGGCACGCTCCGAGTACCAGTTACTCCGACCTGCCGTCAGACCTTCACCCCGTGGGGGAACCTCAGCTTTCTACGGGCAGGAGTGCCTCTGGAACGAGCTTCCCGGCATGTTGTTGTAACGACAGATGCCTCCACCGCGGGCTGGGGTGCCATGTGCAATGGACGTGCTGCCGCGGGCTCCTGGACAGGACCCCACCGCTTATGGCACATCAATTGCCTCGAGTTGCAGGCTGTACGTCTTGCTCTGCGCCGCTTCCGGGCCGTGCTCAAGAATCAACACGTACTAGTCCGAACAGACAATACCGCCACTGTAGCGTACATCAACCGTCAAGGTGGTCTGCGCTCCCGCCGTATGTCGCAACTCGCCCGCCACCTCCTCTTTTGGAGTCAGAAGCATCTGAGGTCGCTTCGAGCCATTTACATCCCTGGAGCCCTGAACTGTGCAGCCGACGAGCTGTCACGGCTTCAGCCCCTCCCCGGAGATTGGCGACTCCATCCCCAGACGGTTCAGCTGATTTGGGACCAGTTCGGGGACGCACAGATAGATCTGTTTGCCTCTCACGACTCGACCCATTGCGCCCAGTATTATTCCCTGACCGAGGGCACGCTCGGCACGGATGCTCTGGCGCACAGCTGGCCGCGGGGCCGCAAATATGCGTTTCCCCCAGTGAGCCTTCTTGCGCAACTCCTGCGCAAGGTCAGGGAGGACGAGGAGCAGGTCACTCTGGTCGCGCCGTACTGGCCCACCCGGACCTGGTTCTCCGAACTTGTACTCCTCGCGACAGCACCTCCTTGGCCGATTCTTCTGAGGAAGGACCTCCTTTCTCAGGGACGGGGCACCCTATGGCACCCTCGTCCCGATCTTTGGAACCTCCACGTGTGGCTCCTAAACGGGACGAGGCAGGTTTGAGTACCCTGCCACCAGCGGTGGCGGCTACCATCACTTCCGCTAGAGCGTCGTCCACGAGACACCTCTACGCGTTGAAGTGGAACCTCTTCGTCAGCTGGTGCTCATCTCGCCGAGAAGAGCCCCGGAGTTGTTCGATCAGTGTTGTGCTTTCCTTTCTTCAAGAAGGGTTGGAGCGAAGGCTGTCTCCCTCCACCCTTAAGGTCTATGTAGCCGCTATTGCCGCACAGCATGACCTTATAGAAGGTAAGTCTTTGGGGAAACATGACCTGATCACCAGGTTCCTGAGAGGAGCGAGGAGACTGAATCCTCCTCGCCCTCCTCTCGTACCCTCTTGGGACCTCGCAGTGGTCTTAACCGCCCTGCGTAGTGCTCCCTTTGAGCCTTTACAGTCAGTCGAGCTTAACTTCCTGTCAATGAAGACGGCGCTTCTGACTGCATTGGCCTCCTTCAAGAGGGTAGGGGACCTGCACGCATTCTCCGTTGACGAAGCGTGCCTGGAATTCGGGCCGGCGTACTCTCACGTGATCCTGAGACCCCGGCCTGGATATGTGGCCAAGGTTCCTACCACTCCCTTCCGGGACCAGGTGGTGAACCTGCAAGCGCTGCCCCCGGAGGAGGCAGACCCAGCCTTGGCACTGCTCTGTCCAGTACGTGCTCTTCGCATCTATGTAGACAGAACGCAGTGTTTCAGGACCTCAGACCAGCTCTTTGTCTGTTATGGTGGGAAGCTGAAGGGAAAGGCTCTCTCCAAGCAAAGGTTGTCTCACTGGATAGTGGACGCCATTGCTTTGGCATACCAGCAGCAAGGTCGACCGTGCCCCCTTGGTGTGACTGCCCACTCCACCCGGAGTGTGGCATCCTCTTGGGCTCTAGCGCATGGCGCCTCGCTAACAGACATCTGCAGAGCTGCAGGCTGGGCGACACCTAACACTTTCGCCAGATTTTACAATCTCCGAGTGGAGCCAGTCTCCTCCCGTGTACTGACTTTTTCAAGCTAACATGGGTTCCGTTAAGGTGTCTTCGCTTGCTCGCCACTCCACTCCACGGACTGGATACGTGCGATATTTTTGCTCAGGTGAGCTTCCCCGAAAGCCCTGAGTTCCTCCAGCACTTCTGATGCTGGCGCCAGTGTCTATTGCCTGCGCGTCGGCTAGGTGCCTCCCCGTGTGCATGGTCCCTCCTCTGAGCGACCCCCACATGTGTATTTCCACTGTAAGCCTCTTGAGCATGTGTCTTCCCTCGGCAAGCCACCTTGCCACCCCTGGGGTTGAAATATTCCACCTGCGGCTGGACACCCCAGTGATTCCCCATATGCATCCCTCGGGTCATATGTGTATTCCTAAGTCCCCCCCTCTGGGTTGGCAATAATTGCATACTTCCCTTTAATTCTGGGATATGCTCCCCAGTGTACCTTGGTTAAAATTCCTGTGATAATAGGAGTCCTTCGTCCGTGCTAGTCTCACGACAGGGATCTCAGATTACGCAGGGCACTGGAAGACAGCTGAGAAGTGGCGTGATTAGACTGGTATCCCCATTCGTCGTCATCCGACGGAACTCGGAGTGACAACGAAAGGGAACGTCTCGGTTACGGATGTAACCCTCGTTCCCTGAGTAGGGAACGGAGAAGTTCCGTCTGCCTGCCACTTCCGCTGTACCGCTGGAACAGCCGAGTTCAGTCTTGGCTCCTCAGCGAAGAAACATATCTGCATATTGCTGGCTTTCTCCTTTTATCCCCACGAGGTGGGGTGGAGTTGCGCCATGCAAATTCCGCAGACCCATGGCATTTGTTTGCCATTGGCTCGTTTTGTATACTCGAAGTCGATAGGCTTCTAAGCGAAACCCCCATTCGTCGTCATCCGACGGAACGTCTCCGTTCCCTACTCAGGGAACGAGGGTTACATCCGTAACCGAGACGTTTCCACAGTGAGACTTCCCTCTGTAGGAACTGCAAGGCAACTGCATCAGTTTACAGTGAGATTGCACACTGCTACTGGCATTTTTTCAGTTAAAAGCTGAAATTAAGGATTTGTCAAAAAAGATAAATAATAAAATGATGGTATGATTAAAATATTAATCACATCTAGAGTGAGAAAATTTAAATATATTTCTGTTGATAAATGCATTCATTGGAGGAGCAGGTGTGTGGGTGCTGGGGAGGTTTTGCACTTTGCCCCTGTACACAGAAACTTGAAGAACAAGTTCGTAGAGTTTTGTAAAAAAGATAAAATTCCAGAAAGTGTCAAACATATTTTTAGAACTATTGTTTTCTGTTCTTACACAGACATGTGAAAAGGCTCAGAGAGTTTCTTCCTCTTACAACATTTTAATGCATGAATTACTTGATCCCACTTACTGTTGTAAATTTCACAAATGACTTAAAATCTCTCAAAAGTTCCAAACAAACTGCAGACTGATCATGAAAAGACATATTGAGAGGTATTTCATTCCAGTTGAATATATGAATGAGTTTATTTATTTATCTTTCTGAAGTGTCTTTCTTTTGAAACTGTGATATTGGCAAATTTTACTTTACATTTGAGGATGATAACAGAAAATAGCACAAGGAAAATCAGTAGTAGTGGCAAAATAAGAGCTATTAGATTACTAACCTGTGACAAAGGTCCTGCTTTCTTGCTGTCCATTCCTCCGACTATGATCATGTTTGGCATCAACGGACGTGGAAATTCTAAAACAAAGTCTGAATCCATAAACCAGAGAGCTGCACGGCTCATGATCTCCACCATCGATGTTTTTTTCTGCAGTACACGCGAAGCAATCTCATCCGCACGAGCAAACATACGTCCGCAAGCCATGGGCTGCAGGAGAGTCCTTACCAGGTTCACACTTCTTTGCCAAAGATTCATGCGGTCAGTAAAGTGAGTTAAATGTTGTGGAACATAAGAGGCTGGAACTGGACATTGACTGGCGAGAGCGTCGACACCACAAGGATGGGTTGATTGTATATAAACGGCTGGAACTGAGAGAAATTCACCAGCTATAGGTCCGACAGGCTCGAATGGATCTGTGAGAATAGCATCAAAGTTGTAATCTTGCAGTTTCTTCATCAAAGCTTCGTTGGAGAGCAATACCTCAACATTCCGGGTTATAAGAATATTAAGCAGATCCATAGTGTTGAGGAAATTCTGAAACCTGGCCAGATCTGTAGATAAATCTTTACTTGTCAGAGTAGTAACACCTGCATTCACATGCTCTTGTAGCTGGGTCTTGGTGTAGGGTACTGGATATGTCAGAGTAGTGGTGTGTTGTGAAGGACCCATACTCAGACTTGCTTCTGGGATGACGACCACCACCTGGTTTCCTCTACGGCCAAGCTCTTCCACCAAAGGCTTCATGCCTGTCCAGTGGCTGCCATCTGAAGGAACTACTAATAACTTTCCAGCCTCTGCTGATCCCAGGCAGAAAAGACACAAGAGCAACACAGAAGCAGCCATTCTAACAATCCTATCACACATAATCAGCAATAATTACAAGCAGATGAGCTTGTAGTATTGGTAAGAGCTAAGAAGATTGTCTTATAAGTCTGCAAGCACTTATGAATTTGCACATCCTGCGGCACAGGCTTTTATCCTGAAAGGGGAGTTTCAACAAACAACAGTAGGCTGGGCCTGAAAAGTTGAAAATCTCGATTCTTAAGCGGCAAAGCATGCCCTTAGTAGAAGAGTGAGAAAAGTATCCAGATCTCATAAATGAAAAAAGCGGAGTGATATTTTAAGCATATTTATCTAGATTGCAATTTGACTAAATATTACGAAGGCAACCCTTTTTTTATTTCTTTGAGACAACGTTCACTAGTGAATCATTCACAACAATACCAGGAACATGCTGGTTTTCTTTCTTGTTATATTTGACAGAAAAAAACTACTATACACAGATTTTATATAAAGACACCTTTCGGACAAAAGGTAGACTTTGAGCCCTCTATAGTCAACTCTAGCTATCAAAGCATATCAACTGAGCACATCAACATTTTTTACAAAGTACATCGACCACTTGTAGCTTACTTATTATCTCTATTAGAATGTGCAAGGTCATGCTTGCACTGCAGTGGGGATCCAAACTGCGTGAAATGTTTTGGAATATGGTTATATGACAAAAGGCATGTTTCTCTTGATGCTCTGATGGCACAGGTATGATGCTGGAAATAATTTGTTAAAAGGAATATAAAATAAGTTCCTGATTGTCTTTATGTAACATGCATTTGTGAATTGAGTTTTTCTTAATTATAATTTTCTTAATTATTTACTGATTAATGATTAATCAGTATTGTAGTTTAAAAACTGAAATTGTTAAACTAACTAATATACGGCTGTTTATAAAAAAATATGTGATGAAAGCATCTACAAAATAAAGAAATGTAAATGTAGTTAACATCTAGTGTTTTCTACCTTATATAGTCATGACTCATGACACTGAGAAAATAGTGACTGAACAGGTGGCTTTAAAGTTAGATGGGAAAATGACATGTTGATTGCCAATTCCAAAAGTACAATCCAGTGTAGAAAGTAACATTTGATATTTCATTTAAGTTAGTTTTTGACTAGATAGTTTGACTATTAAATACCATAATATCCATCATTTAAAGTGCAATCATCATTATTGATGTGTATTTTCTATCGAAAGAACAGCTGATATCTAAAAGAGCAGGCTACAAAATAGCACTCTAAATAGATTAGGTTTTTACACACACGGTGGCGCTATTGAAACATTTATCAATATGAACTGCATTCACTGCATTGAAGTTGCACTTCTCACAATTTAAAGGCCCACTGAAGTGCCTTGAAACGTGCAGCATTATTCAATGTGTTGACGTAATTTCCACTGAAACAGGAAGACAGGGCAGGACATATCGAACAGCCCCTCCCCTTTAAAAAAAATAGCCAATAGCTTTAAGTTTATATCACAGCTCGGCCAGAGCCGTTGAGCTCAAGGGGGTAATCCATCAGCCGGAAACTGAAGCTTCCCTTGGGGGCCGCCATTGTAGCAGACAAATAACTTTACATCTGAGGTGTCCAAAGACTCCATTTGTCCATTATTTATTTCTGAAGAAACAGGACAATGGATAAAAGGCTCCATTACTTTGTATCTTACGTTATGGCCCCGTAGAAGCCGTTTTTGTAAAAGTAGGCTAACGATTGCGTCATAACCACGGGACTCTCTGTCGCACAGTAGAGAAATTACCATATAGACAGAAGGAGAAGCTCGTAGGCAATCTTTTACTGAGGCAATCGGGGGGACGTGGAGACATAAAGTCAAGGGAGAAGCCCATAGATTGAGAGTCCATAAAAGCAACGGGACAAAATATTTCAACAACGGATTTGTTTCAGATTTCAATTCAGATTTGTCTTGGCACAGCTACTAGAACACTTACAACTGTCAGACAGGTTGCTCACGTCACATCTACATCGTCAAGCTCAGTTTGAGCCTGCGCAGTACGCTTGGCTATCAGGAAGTGAGTGCTTCTAATTGGCTTCACTTTTCTCCGTTGAAATCTATGGGGTCGCTGTGTCCATTTCTTTTACTGTCTATGGTTGAGCTCAGTACAGCCGCAGTTTGCAACACGCATTGTAACTGTTTCTCCTCCTAATCTCCTCCGTATCGCTTTAACATTATGTGCAGGATTCAATCGGTCCGATAAATTTTCTGGTATGCGCCGATCCGCTCTGTGCTATTGTGTCTATAGACCGGAGCAGACTGTGTGCACGCTGCGGCAGTTCACGTGACGCTAATGTGAAACCAGACTTAATTTGCCCCAATGGAAAGCATATTTACACAGTTTGAATCATTCCCTATCACATATATAGTGCACTATGTACCATTCACCATGTAAAAAAATGTAAATGTGTGAACAAGTGATTTTAGCCTCAGCTTCAGCATCTATTTATAAGGTGGTGGCTGAGTTTTGAATGCTTATATCTTCTAAATGCTAATTTTGTCATTGTTTTTAAAGCACACTAGTTTATAGATAACAGTAAGGCTAACATAGACATACATCTTGATTTCATGGGGACTTTAACTGCATATATTTCCAGTATGCCCATGTATTTTAAACAGAGAGTGAAGCATGAACTTAAAGATCAAACTCAAATAAAACCAGCCTCCATATGTGTACAGAGATTTTTACCAGTTAATACTACAAAAAATGACGAAGTTTTGCACAACATACTGTAACATGGAAACTATGATGCAAGTCAACCAAATGGTGCAAAACTAGCCTAATATAGTCTATTAGCCTAATAATTAGCCAAAATAATATTGTGACTTCTCTCTTTAGAAAATTCAGGAAGTGCATCTGTTTTAGAGTGAGTTTGTACATGGGAAAGCAGTGGAATTACTGTGTACATTTAGAGTAGTGAGATTGATGAAATAGTTAATAAGAAATGTATAAATAATAAAATGCACTGTATGATTGGAAATATTGATTACAAATACATATTGAGAAAGAAAAGGCCAATGTGTTCATTATTTTTCAGGTGTTCTTCCATGCAGGGCCGTGCACAGACCTTTTGAGGGGCATGTGCTAATACTGAAAAAGGGCACCCCCCTCCCTTTTTTTATATCAAGATTATTTAGTAAGCCTACATAAAAGGAGGAAATGGTCTTCATGACAAATCAAAAAAAAAAAAAAAAAAATAGTCTCAAAAGCTTTAGATTTATTCACTATTAATAACAACCATAATAATAATAATAAAGATATACAAGGTTTTAGGGCTTCTTTAAACCTAATTACAACAGCAACCTTCTGTGAGCCATGCTTGAAGATGTTTATGACTTCACTGTGGCCATGAAGGTCTGAGAGTCTCTCCTCTGAGCAAAGGCTTTGGAGTTGGTTCTTAACCGGCTCAGGAACAGACGTGGCGTGAACACTCTCATTGAAAAGAATCTGATTGCAAAGAAGAATTTGATGGCAAAAACTTGATACTGTGGAGGACCAATATTGGTGTCTTGAAGGTCTCTTATTAAAATAAGCCAGCAATGAAAAAAATTATAAAATAGTGTGAAAAGTACAGTTGCAGTGAAAAGCATTTCTGAAGGATCACGTGACACTGAAGAGTACTGACCTGGAGTAAAGATGCTGAAAATTCAGCTTTGACCAAATAAATAAATTAGGCTACATTTTAAAATATATTCAAATAGAAAACAGTAAAAATATTTCACAATATTACTGTTTTTGCTTATTTTGGATCAAATAAATCAAGCCTTGGAATGTATTAAATCATGAATTACATTCTGCATGATAAAATATAAAGATTTAACAGTGATCTTCTGTAATGTTTTTTTTAAGTTACTACTACAATATTACTGTAGTAAAACCATGTTTTACTACATTTATACATGTGAGGACGACCGGAGAGTATAGAATAGCCTACTATATAGATTCAAAATTACATTGCGAATACGTGCATATTAACAGCCTTGAATTAACCTTAATTTAATATTATTACCATAACATGATTAAATGTTAATAAATTAAGTGTATCAGCAATCATAAATCAAAGAACACATTTCTTAGAAATATATGTTACCTAGGCGACGAGGATCACTTTGTAGTTCCAGTACGAACAGCGCGGGGGCGCGCCTGTGCTTATGATTTTCCTATGGAAACGGCGCCGGCGGCATCATTCCATTTTCATCAACAGCTTACCAACTAGATTGTTATAGCTATATATAGGTGCTCAGTTTTTCCTGTTGTAAAATACATTTGGTCAAAATCGCATTTTATAAAAAATGAAATGCTACTGTATGCACAGGCTATTTAAGTGTAGGCTATGTATTGGCTATGACTATGGCAAATGCTAGCATAGCCCTCTCTCTCAGGTCCCACATATCTTAGTCAGACATCAAATAAATAAAATATGAGCTTTTATAGACAACGTGTTTAGTACTTATTCAAACAACAAGATTTTTGTTTACCCTTGCAAAACTTCTTTCAGCTGCTGTCTGCTGTGCGGCCGCTGCGGAGCTTCAGCTCATTCAGTCACGATAGAGGGGGCGGAGTTATCAGCTTTACTGACAGTTTGAGGATCGAACAAGATTTACACAAGCGCTTTTTAAGATCTTCCATTGGCTAAATATTTTTAAAACAGACAGATAGACTTAAAGGGTGACCAATAGCATTTATTTATAAAAAAACCCCCAAAAAAACACCACCACCAAAAAAAGGGCACTTCAGCAAAAAGGGCATGTGCTCTGCACAGGTTGAGCCCTACCTGTGCACGTGCCTGCTTCCATGGCCAAATTTAGAGAAACTTTGCTAGTAGACATTAAAGGCAAAATTAGCAGTAGTGTAAAATGACAGCTATTAGAAAGACTTACTTGTGACAAAGGTCCTGCTTTCTTGCTGTCCATTCCTCCAATTAGGATCATGTTTGGCATCAATGGACGTGGTAATTCAAAGGCAAAGTCAAAATGCATAAACCAGAGAGCTGCACGGCTCATGATCTCCACCATCGATGTTTTTTTCTGCAATACACGTGAAGCAATCTCATCTGCACGAGCAAACATACGTCCGCAAGCCATGGGCTGCAGGAGAGTCCTTACCAGGTTCACACTTCTTTGCCAAAGATTCATGCGGTCAGTAAAGTGAGTTAAAGGTTGTGGAACATAAGAGGCTGGAACTGGACATTGACTGGCGAGAGCGTCGACACCACAAGGATGGCTTGTTTGCATATAAATGGCTGGAACTGAGAGATATTCTACAGCAATAACTCCAACAGTCTCAAATGGATCTGTGAGAATAGCATCAAAGTTGTAATCTTGCAGTTTCTTCATCAAATCCTTTTTGGAGAGCAAACCCTCAGCATTCCGGGTTATAATAACTTTAAGTAGATCCATTGTGTTGATAAAACTCTGAAACCGGTCCATATCTTTAGATACATCTGCACTCAACATTTCATTAATACCTGCATTCATGCTCTCTTGTAGCTGGGTCTTGTTGTAGGGTACTGGATATGTCAGAGTAGTGGTATGCAGTGCTGGACCCATGTTCGGACTTTCCTCTGGGATGACGACCACCACCTGGTTTCCTCTACGGCCAAGCTCTTCCACCAAAGGCCTCATGCCTGTCCAGTGGCTGCCATATGCTGGAATCACCAATAACTTCCCAGCCTCTGCTGATCCCAGGCAGAAAAGGCACAAGAGCAACACACTAGCAGAGGCAGCCATTCTAATTTCATTCATAATCAGCAATGAATACAAGTATATGAGCTGGTAGTATTGGCAAAATTCGGTTGATTTGAATTTCTGCAAGACACTTATGAATTTGCACTTCTCAGCAGAGGTTTTTATCCTAAAAGGGATGTTGCTACAGACAACAAAGAAGGCAGGGCCTCAAAAGAATGTAATCCGCCTTCCACTCATCTACAGAAAACCACACCTCAGTGGTCCGGTCCCGATACACCTTGAGTGAAATCTAAGACGAACAAAAAACTTTTTGATAAACACCTTCGAAGTTCAAACTGCCATTGGCCAATGATGATGATGTAATAGGCGGGAGCGCTCTGAGGGCTCCACCTTCTCATTCATTTCTGTCACTCCGGCGAGGTCAGAGTGAAAACATGAATAGAGCTGCATTATAAACGGAACAGAAGTTTATTTTTTTTCATTATTTAAATTATTAAAATTCTGATTCCTAAAATTGAAGAATTTGCGACATTGTTTTATTCTACTTGAGTTGCACTAAAGCAATAAAGTACTATATAAGCTTGACTTGAATGCAGTGCCAAATTACAGAACTGGTGCAATATCCAGCATTCATGTGAGCAGGTTCTTAACAGTTCTTTTGTCATCGCTGTCATTTTTGTTGCAGCGTTTGTTGTGTTATTGAAAGACAGTGTAGTAGAGGTTTGACAAATAGGCTATAGGCTACTAATTATTAAAACTGGATGAACTGAACAAAATTATCAGCTATAGGCTAATATAGGCTACTAAAAGAGTGTAAAAAAATTAGGTGAGAGCTGCAAAGAGGTGTATCTACCAACTTTATCAATCTTCAAGGTGTGGCTCCTTTGTGCCTCACTAGGCATGAAACAACAAAGATAAAGCCCATGTAGGCTATAGATGAACTTTAACACTGTTTTTTTTTTTAATGAGCATTTTTCAGAAGCCCCTTTTTGTACGAATTTTTCAACCCGCCCCTCATTTTTGAGGTTACTCAAATGAGTCACAATGGAAGTAAATTTAGACGATTTTAAGGGCATTTAATTTAATTGTATATTTTATTATTTTAATTTTATTAAAGCACTTACACTAATAATTATTATTTGAGTTGTAAAAGTCTTTATAAAATAAAGTGGGTTTTTGGTGTTCTGTCATGCCATGTCAACAAAGTTGTAGGCTACAATTATTAGATATAACAACAGAAAAGTGGAGCGATTTGTTCACGTTAACATATTGTTTGTGTCTTGTGGCTAAGGCTATATATTGAAATATATATAAGGCTATATATTGTTTCCCTTCCATTTTAAAAGCTTGTAGACTGTAACTAAACCCCTTCCAGGCAGAGGGTGGACATGAGCTGAAATGACTACTCCAGTCATGACCAAGCCTCCTAAAACCTCTCACCCTTTTCTGTTTGCACGCATTTATCGGTGACCTGCCTGACAAGTCTTTCAAAGCACATCGACCACATGTAGCTTACATACTATATATCTTTAGAATACGCATGCTTGCACTGCAGTACCAGTATTCTAAATATTTTCAATCAACATGAAAATGTGTAAACCTGCACAGTAATTTATTGTAAAGTCATGGTGGAGCAGAACTCCAAACAATACCATAATGTTATAAATATTAAAAATGTAATGTCACCGGGTGAACAAACCGGGAACCAAAAAAAAAAAAAAATTTGTTGACTCGTTTCCCTAGAGCCCCCACTCCGAATCAAGGGAAGAAGAACCCGGTATTCCAACTCGACACTCCCAACGGGAGACCCGAGGAGTACCTCCTATCAGGTATGGAGAATGGGAGTCTGGACCCCGTTCTCGGGACTAGAACGGATCCGGTGGGGGAGGGTGTCACCAGGTGAACAAAAAATTTGTTGACTCGTTTCAAGGGGGAAGAAATGCCGGTGTAACACCGGGCCGGCTCTGGGTTTACACATCATGGCCGCCGACCATAATGAGCGCCAGCTGAAGCCAATGAGTAGTGCTTCATTGAACTACATGCCCGGGAAAAAGGAGTATAAAGAGAGGGGCTTGGAGTACAGGCAGGAGAGAAGTGGTTGTCTCAGGGCAGGCGCTGGTTGCCTCAGCGCAGGCGCGCTGGTTGCCTCGGAGCAGTTTTGGGCACAAGCTTCCTCGGCAAAATCTGCAGCAGGTGTGAGAGCCGCCCATTGAAGTTTGCTGGATCAGAGTGATCGTCTGTGGGAAATCTACTGGACTTAGTTATCGATTGAACCTGCACTGTGAAGAGAGGGAGAAAGATAAGTGAATTGATTTCATCTTACGAACATTCAAACAGCTTGAAGAGGATGCAGTGAGTGTGGATCTGACTGTTGGAGAAGCTATGTGTTTCAGAGTGTGTTGAGCAGGAACGGAAGATTTAATGTCCCCCACGTGAGTGTAACAAACGGATAGAGGCCTCTGAACAGCCTTATCGTGTGAGTGAATTGCAGTGCTTTTGCCTTATTGATACACATTGATTCATGGCTGGGAAATTGAAGTGAACACGAGTGTGGTGTGCTTTTGCTGAGAAGTGGCCCCAACCCATGCGTACACGTTTGTGGAAAGTTGTTACTATATCTGCTCTCCATCAGAAGCCTATAGTGCTACAGCTGAGCTGAAAAGCAGCCTGTACTGTGAAGAATCCTTACCTTTCTACTCACTGTCTGAGTTTGGAAGTATGCAGCATCGCTGATGAAGTAAGCTTGTCAACCACTGTCTCACTACCGTGAACCGAAGAGTACTTTGTACTGTGAAGAATCCTTACCTTTCTACTCACTGTCTGAGTTTGGAAGTATGCAGCATCACTGGTGAAGTAAGCTTTTAAACCACTGTCTCATTACTGTGCACCGACGAAGAGTACTTTGTACCGTGAAGAATCCTTAACTTTCCACTTACGGTCTGAGTCTGGAAGTATGCAGCATTGCTGGTGAAGTGAGCTTTTAAGTCACTGTCTGTCCCACGAGCCTATTCGCCGAGCCTGACGACGAGAGGAGTCACTGTCTGTCCCACGAGCCTATTCGACGAGTCTGACGACGCAAAGAGCCACGAACGTCCCTGTCCCTGCTTTTACCCTGTTTAAACTAAATAAAAACTTACCTTTTAAAGTCACTGTGGTCGTCTGACTCTTGGTGTCCTCTGGTGTCTGCTCCTCCGGAGTGTGGTGAATAAACCCTTGGCCTTAACCCCGGTGACAGTAATGTGTTTAGTTTATTTGTGACATATTTCCAGCTAACACCTGGTGGTTTGTACTACTGTGACAGTTTATTGTTTGTTTGTAAGGTAACACTTTACAATAGGGGTGCACTAATAAGCATTAATTCATGTTTAACTAATGCACAGATAGTCATGAGTTAATGTATGACTCATGAAGAACTAAACCATTAATGATTACTGCATCAGCAACTAAAGAGTCTATATGATTAATAGATTAAGTAATACATGAATTGCTATTAATTAAATGTGTCATCATGTATTAATTCCTTAATAACATATTTTATTAACTAGTATAAATTAATGTGTTAATTACCACAATTAGTCAACGCTATGCACTTCAACTTCCAGTTGTCTGCTTTGATTAATCATTAGCTAATGATTTGCAAATCTATCATTATGTTATGACTTTACTTGTTGAGGCACATGACTATTAACTAATTGTTAAGTAATATGTAATTTTGGTTTTGACATACACACTATGGATTTCAATGTCCTGCCTTCTACAACCGGGATTCCACTTTGCCAGATGAACCACCGCATCCAACAGTTCATGGCACAGGAGTGTGTCAGGTTCAGTAGTATGTTCCTGCACAACCGGAGGCTGCAGTTTCAGGACCCCAGTTCTAGGACCGCAGTTCCAGGACCCTACTTTTTTATGACAGCGCCACCTACCGAACTGGATGCGGCGGCAGCGGTTTCAGGACCGCAGTTCTAGGATCCAGGTACATAGTATCAAGATCCACCTATTATCTTAAGTCTTGTTAGAAAAAAAATATATATATATATTTTAACAAATAAGATTATGGAATAGAAAAGCTCCTGCAGCAGGTGGATTAGAGCAAGTAGCATCAAGCTATGACACAATTTAAAAGATTAATATTACACTTTTACTTAAAGCTCACTTTAAACTACCATCGAGTATTTGTATCATATTCCCGTCGCGGTTTAAAATGGTTTTGAGTCAAAAAAAGATGTTGAAATATGTTATATTTAGCATTTTATATGCAGCTAATGGCTACACCTGCTTAGCAATAGTGTAAACATTCTTTATTCATATGAAAATATCCTAAATCGCACGGAAATCACACACAAACCATATTTACTCGAAATCGTGCATTTAGTTTCTTTCAGGTGAAGAGATGTGTCACGGAGGTCAGAATGAGGAACACAGCATACACAGGAGCGTCACGTTGAACCACGTGAGATGATTGACAGCTGTATAGCCAATAAGAGAGCACTGAGATCATAACTGACGCAGACGCTGGCGGGTGATTGCATGTATGTCAACACAAATAAACCGGAGAAGACGTGAATGACTGCTTTATGAGTGATGATTTCTATTCAAAATAACAAACTTTACAGATTAATAATTTTGCTCTCCTGTCATAAATTAAGAAATTAATGTCACTGCAAACCAGTTTTATAACAGTGGTCAACTATTGAAGCTGGAGTCTTAAATCTTTCTAATGATGCTCGTTTGTCCAGTTCAAATAAGTAAGAGTGTGATGTTTTAACGAATAATGAATTTTGAACAACAATAATCTGGGGCCGTCTGTGATCTTTGCCGCGAAAGGGGTTAAATGAGTGTTTTTGGTGATCCAGTTCGGTTTGTGGCGCTGAAACAGAAAACTAGGGTCCTGAAACTGCGGTCCTAGAACTGGGGTCCTGAAACTGCAGCCTCCGGTTGTGCAGAAATACCCTTCTCGTCAGGTTAAGCTTGAGCTCTAGGAAGAACACTGAGAATATGCGGCCGGGCTCTGCTATTTCATAACACTGTCTAGACCGGACAAAGACACTAGAACCCATTATAATCAGTGATACAACACTGGATGCGACACAATGCTACACGACACAACAAAACCCCGACAGTAAACTGATGCCTCACTCTATTTCTGACGTACTCCGAGCTCTTGCGCTACTTCTGTTATGAAGGACAAATGGACTTGCAATGGTCTGTCATGTCCAGTGTAGACAGATGTAATGGTCTCGTCCAGTTTAAACCATAGACAGTAAAAGAAATGGACAGAGCGATCTCATTGGAACTCAGTTGAGACAGTTGAAGCCCACTCTTAGCGATTTTTGAGAACTTCCGTTCCTGACGCGCAGACTCAGACCGACTCAAACTAAGCTTGATGACGTGAGCAACCTGTCTGACAGACGTTAATCTTCTAGTAGCTGTGCGTGGAAACTGCCAACGTTAATCTTGCAGAGACGGGGAACTTGAGCAAAGAGTTATTTGGCGTGAGTGAGCAGGAGTAAGTATTCCGTTGCTTTTATGGACTCATTATCTATGGTCTTCTCCCTTGACGGGACGTCCCCCCGATTGCCTGCGAGCTTCTCCTCCTGTCTGTACGGTAATTTCTGTACAGCGCGACAGAGAGTCGAGTGGTTATGACGCAATCGTTAGCCTATTTTTACTAAATCTGTTTCTACGGGGCCATAATGTAACATAGAAGGTAATGGAGCCCTTTATACATTGTCGTGTTTCTTTAGAAATAAATAATGGACAAATGGAGTCTTTAAACGCCTCAGATGTAAAGTTATTCGCTGTCAAAGTGACGCCAAAATGAATTGGAGTCAATGGAAATGCTAACGCAAGTGAAGTTCTGCTACAACATGGCGGCACCCGGCCGGCTTCAACTTCCGGTCGATGGATTACCCCCTTGGTTTGCGGTGTAAGCGTCAGTATTTCAGATTCTGGTGTGCTGATATTTGTGTGCGGCCCAACTTACCCATCCTTCAAACACTCTCTGACATTACACTCACTGCATGTGCAACTGCCCCACAGACCTTTAGTGGGGATGACAAAAGCATAATGACATAATACTTAACAATTAGTTAATAGTCATGTGCCTCAACAAGTAAAGTCATAACATAATGATACCTTTGCAAATCATTAGCTAATGATTAATTAAAGCAGACAACTGGAAGTTGAAGTGCATAGCGTTGACTAATTGTGGTAATTAACACATTCATTTACACTATTAGTTAATAAAATATGTTATTAAGGAATTAATACATGATGACACATTTAATTAATAGCAATTCATTTATTACTTAATCTATTAATCATAGACTCTTTATTAGTTGCTGATGCAGTAATTAATTAATGGTTGTTCTTCATGAGTCATACATTAACTCATGATTATCTGTGCATTAGTTAAGTATGAATTAATGCATATTAGAGCACCCTATTGTAAAGTGTTACCGTTTGTAACTAAAGTAGTAAGTAATTAAGTAGTAAGCCTAACTGAAATGGTTGAACTGCTCTGCTGCTGGAGCACTAAAATAATGTTCTGGCAGGAGATGGGAAAGTAAATTTGTAAAATGATGTGATAAGAGAATATTCAGTTCAGTTCGGTAATCATCTGGTGTGTTCTTGAGACTCATAGCCAGGACACTGATAAAAAACTGAACAGGTTGCTTTACAAACTTAAGTGGTTACTTTGATGGTAAGTCTCCCCCATCTCTTTGACTTTTTTTAAAAGCTAAGTGCGTTCAGTTTATACTTGTGAATACTAACCTAAATAGGTTATAGCTATCCTTTGAAACATTTTAATTTCACTCCATTTAATTTTTGGTTTGGATAGGCCAGACATTTAAATACTTCAATTTGACATTCAAAATACGTTTGACATAGTAGCCTATACTCTACATTCAGAATCAGTACATCTTTTTTTTAAATAATTAACTAATTGAAAGAACGGATAATATCTAATTGAAAATTATAAAATATTACAGCACCATAGCTAGGCCTACATTATTTTGAGGCAGTTTGCACACATGGTGGCGCTATAGGACTGTACCAACTATTGTGTTAACTGCATTAAAGTTGCACTAGTCAAGGTTTAAATGTGTACAACTCCAGTACTCCAGACACACTCATTGCACACTAACAATTTTTGCAATGTTAACATTTTAATCTAATGTGTGGGTGTAGCTTTAATGTTGTTATTGCACTATATTTCACCTTGGGTAAAACGCATTATTATTAAGTCTTACTATACTCTCTCTCTCTCTCTCTCTCTCTCTCTCTCTCTCTCTCTCTCTCTCTCTCTCTCTCTCTCTCTCTCTCTCTCTCTCTCTCTCTCTCGCTATTCTCTAATGCTATTACTGTGGCTTATGCAGCCTTCAGTAACATATTAATTAAATAATAACCCTGTTAAACTAGACTACACGCGTACAATAATTATCCTAGACAAGTTTATGGACGGGTTTCTCTAGTCCTCAGCAGGGCACTTTGTTCGTCACCTCAAAAACATTTTCGGAATCTTTCAACAACTTTTAAAACACACCTGCATTATATGCGAATAAATTAGTAATACTGACGGTATGTTATTCTGTCTTTATGAAACCCTTACCTCAGATAAAGACAAGAAAAAAACAGACACGTACGTGTCTACAATGGGTTAATCTACAGTTGACGTCTCTCGGTTGAGAGTCCCTCACAGGCGCTAAATCTGAAGAGCACTTCAAAGAGGGATTCACATCACCACACACATACACATTCACAAATCAAACTACAGACGAACCAACTAAGATATTGAGCTTTTGGTCAAAGATCGACTCTACTTTGGGGCTGTATAAAACTTTAATCAGAACAAACTGCCATAAACAAGAAGACACACGGCGGACTGCGCGAGCGAGCACTCGCATCAATCACGCAAAATGCTGCGAGGCTTCACACCGTCGCACTGATCGGACTCGGCGCGTTTCGTAAGTCATCGCTGCGTTCCGTCGCCACTCGGACACTACTTTCCAATACAAATCTATCTAAAAGCAGCCTTTCCTGTCCCGAGCACATTTATCAGTATCACTGACGCCTGTGGGACCTTCTCCAGCTGTGCCATCATAAACCCCGCTGGTTACCGTCACTTTTCAACATGATCAACACCTTTTGCCAAGGGTAAGCAAACAGTTTGCTTTATGGAATATGATGCCATTCAACACTTCAGACAGTAATCTTCTGATAAACGCATTCATTTTCGTGTCATTTTTTTTTAAATTCAGGTAGTTGAGAGCAATGGCACCTTCTTGTAAACCCTGTGAATTGGATATTTGCTTCTCCCACCCCAAGTAAGAGTCAAAGACAATTTTCTGTAGTCAAGATGCAGATTGTTTCGGCTGTTTTGCTCCTGTTCTGTTTTCACAAGGTGAGTACCATTCTGTCCATTTACACATAACCTATATGAAAACTGTATGCAATTATGTGCAAACTTTAAGCAAATGTACTGTAAAGAACAGAATACTTATAGAATTTTTCAGTTAAATACTTATAGAATATTTCAGTTAAACTAGTTAATTTAAATAAAATAATAGTACAGTATCTGCGTAATTCTGGTGGACGATTCGATCATTATCCATAGTCTTTTCAGTCTCTTTTAATTCTATTTGCTTTTCTTGGTAGAAAGTAGAAATACACATTTACCAACTTTTTATTTCTCTCATGCATACTGTTGCATTAAACTTTATATTGGAATCACATAACAGCATACTTTTGTTTCAGCTGATGTGATAGATCTTAATTTGATTTAACTAAGCAATGAAGTCAATTCAATGTTGAAAATAAATGTTAACTACATAAAGCAAGGATTTATTCAACTTTAAGAGCTTAGGAACGTTGAATTAGTACCACTTTGAATGCTGTACTGAGAAAAAAGGACAAATATTGGAAGACACAGATGCAAGTGTGGATGTATAGCAGATAAAACAAAAGAATATTACATGTAGCTCATGAACCATCTTATTCTCGACTGAGTCTAACTTTGCACATTAAATATTTTCTATTCATAGAGAAAAAGCAAGGATGTGTATTGTGTAGCCTATTATTCATTCTTCGATTTTTGGTCTTGTTTTTATATAAATAAGATTGTGATGAGAAGGCTAGTCACTTTTGGAGAAAAATAATTCAGTCATTTTATTGCAGAAAACTCTGACTGGTAATATAGATGGTTTCTAAAACACTTCAAAATTATCAGTGTCACAAAACTGCATACAAACATCCTTTTCAGTTAGATGCATTTATGAAGAAATCCAACCTTGCACATAATAATTTTTCAAATTTGGCTGTCCGTTGCATTCGGCTGTACCTATGGGAATGGCTTCTGTCTATGAGTACATCCACTTTTGTACAATCCTCCAAAGGCAGCGTCCCAATGGATTAGAGTCCCTACAGTCTCTCTCTCTCTCTCTTACTACACACACACACTCACACACACACACACAGTGATTCAAATACTGGAGAAGTAGCCCAGCATCTGTGCAGCTCCCTGGGGACAGATAAGAGGGTCAGAGCCTACACACTAGTAACTATTCATTCCATGACATCTGCTGCAGTCAACCTCTGAGAGCAGGACAGAGAACAATGTGATCAGCACTAAATCCACTTGCGCACAACGGCACGACTCTATTGTTTAGACACATTTGCTTTCATTCCTCATCTTTGTGTAATGATTGTTCTCTGCATGGCTGAAGTTCAGCGCAGTTGGCCTTTGCTGCCAGAGCGCCGCTCTCTTCAACACCCCCTTCTGCTGCTCGCCGTTGTGCTTTGCTCTTGTTCATAGATAAGATGCATAACAGCCATCAATCTGTGCTCAAGATTTTCCAGAGCACTGCTTTGCTGATTGAAAGAAGAGATGATGAGTAATTTAGGAAGGTGGTGTGTGATGTCCATACAACTAACTCTAACAGCACACAGATGTTTGTTCACTCAAACGCTTATATGATGTTGGTCTGTAAGAATACCACAGAAATGTCTGTCAGTTTAATGTCCTCACAGTTATTTCAATATGAAACTCTGCCTCAGCCGAAATCTCAACTCAGAGGGCGCGTTTGAATACGCAGACTTCAATGGTTTATGGAGAGCAAATTTAAAGCCGGAATAATGATTCGCAGTGAATTCCCTATCGCGAGGTCGTCCAGCTCTCCCGCTGTCTTTGTGCGCAATTAGCTTTGATTTCATTATTTATTTACTGGAGGAAAACTAGCGGTGGAGAATTTACTAAAAATGTACAGTGCTCGGATTAGGAGCCACGCTTTAATCTTATGCCTCTGATAATGCCGCATGGCCTGATTGATTAGTTTTTCAGGAAGCTTATGTCAGAAAAACTAATCCGTCTTTGGATTGTGCCAGCCGTGTAAGGTTCTCCGCTCTGGTGCTGTATCACGGAGGCGAATTACAGAGCTGCTGGGCTGTGATAAGGCCCTCGTCTCTTTCACACACCCGTCCCCCTGGACAATAAAAACGCTGTTTATATTCTTCAGAACCTGCTGCAGCCCGAGTCTTCACATCAAGCCCTCCCTGGATTTGCCATGTGAGGGGAGAACGTACATCGGGCTCTCAAAATTGGGCTGAGGACACCAAATGAGAGGAAAAAAGCATAACCAGAATGGAGTCGTGAAATGTGTTTGTAGGTCCAGTAACCCAGAAATTCCTGCGAGAGAGATTACATGAGGGTTTCAGTGAGTGCGTCTGTAAATATGAGCGTTTCGCTTTAGATTGGCATTATCAGCGCTGGGCTTATACACCAGTGATGTGTATCTGTGTCTATATTGGGGTCATTGTTGCTTTCCAGAAGCCTGGCCTCAGTAATCCCTCATAAACAATGATGTCTGTGACATTTACCGTTCTAAGCAGGGATGTTGGGTGGTGTGCACTTTCTCGTGTTTGTTAATTTCATGTGGAAAAACACAGGAATCTAAGAGCAGGTGCCATTTACATGTTGCCATCGTTTTTAGTTTGCTGTTGGTTTTCATAGTTGGTTTTCAAGTTATCTACTTTTCATCTAGACACATTTATTGTGAATGAATAATGACAGATTTTATTTGATAGATTTTCTTGACAGAACATGTATGGAAACATGGTGATCAAACTCAGTGATTTAAGATGACTGTTTCTCACCACTCCAGTGATCATAATAATAATACAATTATTATTATTATTGATTTAGAAAGACTGCAAGAATTAGCCTGCAGTGCAATTGTTGGCCTTGGAAACTTGGAAAAAAACTTGGAAACTTTGTGTTAATTTCAAATGGAATTTCATAAATTGGTATTCATTTATTACTATAGAAATCTAAAAATGAAAGTTGTTGTTTTGGCTCATTGGTCACTTGAACTGCAGATAGTTACTCTAAAAGGTTTACAAGTGCAATCTTAAATGTGTGTCTCGCACATTAGACAGTTTATGGTAATGTCATTTGTCAAAGTTTCTGACTTTTATTTTTGCCATGGAATTAATGCCAGGGTCATCCATTACCTGAGATATAAAATCAATGCTTTTCCACTTATGGGCTGGAAACTGTGATTTCAGAGTGTTCCAGAGCTGAAGGACAGGCCTGTATATTTCAGGCTTTATATCATGATAGATGTGTTGTGTAGCTTCTCTGTCCTTCCAAACCTGTATTATGACTTTCTTTCTTCTGCAGAATGCAAAAGACGTTTTTTTGAAGAATGCTCTTTAGCTTTCACTGTACGGACAAAAAAAAAACAATAAAAAAAAAACACTAAGACATTTTTCAAAGTTTTTTTTTTTTTTGTGCTACAAAGAAGAAATCATACAGGTTTGGAAGGACATTAAATGAATAAAGGTGATTAAATGATGACAAATTTTAAATTTTCGTTTTGGGTGAACTATCTCTTTAAGTCTGCAGATTTAGTATTTATTATTCATGTTAAAATATTAAATCGTTTTTTCTCATTTCAATGAATCTCTATTTGAGCATTCAGCTATTTCACATCTCCGTCATATTTCCTTTACCTTCATTTTTTAATTCATCCTGTTGTCTCTTGTTTTGTCACTCTGATGTGAGGATTCCAGCCCGACTTTCTATATGAAATATCATATCTATAGGAAGCCAAAAAAAGGCTTCTTCTTTTTTTTCTGCTGCTGCTGCTGCTTCATTGTATTCAAAAGAGACTGGTATGTCTGAAAACAGTTAGGATTCATCCTAATCAAAGAACAGAGACATCTGTACTGTCAGTTGTAATGCTGCGCTGACAGGAAGGGCTGCTGCATATGCTTCTCACTATTTATATTTGTATGATCTTCATCCAAAGCAAAGAGGGAAATTAAGATGGAACATCAGAAGTGCTCCCAATCAGAAAGCTTGAAGTGCTGCGAACATTTTCATGCACGTTTTCTCCCGATACTTTCTCTCCAGTCCAGTGTTGTCTTTGCATGTGAAACTTGTGATCATAGCTGTTATTCTTGCTGAGGAAATGTCAAACACATTTGTAGGAACAAAGATCAGACAGATGGATATAATGGGATTGTAGAGGTGTTGATGGGATGATAGTTAGTACACCAGCAGAGTGTGGAACAAAGAACCGACAGGTATTAAAGGGGAAAGAAAGAATAAGAATCACTTCTCACCCAACAGTCCTGATCTTATTAACAGGTTATATGCAAACCTGCATATAACCTGTTAATGCAATACAATAGCACCTTGTCTGACTCCAAAATGCAATACAATAGCACCTTGTCTGACTCCATTTATGTTGGTCCTTAATGGTTTTTCACATTTTTTTTTAACAGCTTGATCCCACAGTTTTTGACATATTTAGGGTGTTAACACATGCAAATAATTAACCACGTTTAAAGCTGTTAACGCATTTATTCAATTTGACATTATAACTGTTTCATTTTGTTAACGCGCTAAGAACTAAGAACTGTACGCGCTCCAAAATCTTATTTAGCCTATAGATAAAAATAAGTAACTAAAATAATTTACATTTCATAATTCTAGATGTTTTAAGAGCTGAATATTCTTCAGGGATTCCACTCTTTTTAACCAATTCATTTCCATGACTTTTATATTAACTGACTTGGCCAAACAAGAAACGTTTTTCTTTATAAAAATGCCCCTGGCATTTGAATTAATTTATTGACTTTTCCAGGTCTAGAAATAACGCTTTTAAAATTAGGCTACCCCATACAGCAAGCAATAGCCGTCATTTCACCGTCTAGGGTTAACTATAGACCCGATATAGTCCGACTATGAGTAACCCACTTCTAGCCAAAATAACCTTGAATTTTTTAATTATTTTGTTTTCGTTTTTGCCAAAATAACTTGCAAGATATATGATATTCCATCATGTAAGCAAAGTCAACGGTAATTACAAGGGGTTTGGTTTCATTTCTTTGACATGTTAT